TTCTTCTTCTGCTGTTGTTGAATTTATTCTATGTATAAATGTTGAGGTTTATATACTGAATAGAAATGATCACAATGTACTCTAGAATATTAAATTTCCTTGCAACAATATCGTCATCTAAAATGTGAGAAAAGAAAAAAAAGTAATTGTGCGAAGAAGAAAAATGATTATGAAAATTGAGTCAGTTAGAAAACAATAGAAAAACATAGGAGATATGTCATGCATTTATGAATGAATAAGTCTCGTGCAGGATAAACATTTCCTCGGTTGTGATCTCGCCCACTCAGAGGTAATAGGAACTATACTAAATATGATTATATATTTTACTTGAATTTCTCATACCTGAATATTTTAGCTGAGATCAACTTTCCTCAATTTGAAGTGGGTAATTGTATAATAGATATAACCTGCTCCTATTTATTAAATCGATGAAAAATAAAAAAATGCGAATAGTACATTAAGAAAAGATGACTTTATATTTTTGACCAACAAATGTCATGTCTTGCATTTTTTCATTCTTCCTCTTTTCTTTTTTCTTCCTTTTGAAAAAGATTTTTTACATACAAGTATATTATATACTATCAGAATATTGTGCATGTCAATGACGCTGGTCGTCCATGATTATTTACTATTTTCTGTTCTGCCCTTTTAAAATAGAGTACGTCATTCTCTACCACTTTTCTTTTTTTTCTTCTTCTTCTTCTTCTCTCCTACGCAGCAGCAAACTAGTTGTAATACATATTACGAATGTTATTTTTCTTCTACTCGAATATATATAAAAATTTTCTTCGTACCTTTTTATTAGTTATTACTTCATTATGACAAAATATAAATTAATGCTACAAAAAATCGATCTCTTTCTTCATATAGGAATATGAAAAGAAAAAAAATATTGATATAAAAAAAAGAAGGAAAAGAGACAGGCATGACTTTCTGTTGATTTAATCCAGGTAAATATAAAAAAAAGACAGATTCATGATAAACGCAATAATGACATTAGATCAATAAGTTCGAGGACGGAAAGTATACTCAAAAATGTTCAAATAGTCAACAAAAAATAGGTTATTAATAATAAAAGAAAAAAAACTATGAGTAGAATATCAATCTATTAATAATAGATTTATTTCAACAAAAAAAAAAGAAATTCTTTTTTTTCGATTATTTTTGGGAGAAAAAAAAGTTTTTTATTGCTTCATATGACTGCATATTGATTTCGAGAGTATCAAGGATTGGATAATCCGTTTGTCTATCAAATATATATTTTCATTTTTTTAAAAAAAATCTTATCTATTTTCACTCTATTAAATTAAAAAAATATATGTCATGATTTTAAATATTAATTCTATTCTAGATGTCACTAACTATTTGTAAATTAATTTTATGTCAACATATTGTTTAGGTGCATTATGTAAAATATTTTTTTTTATAAGAATACGAACATATGGTCTTAGTCAATATGAAATAAGCAATGAGAAGGCGTTTCCGAATGTACGAGAAATTAACATAGTGGCCATATGTGATAAAATCTAGATTAAATTTGTCAATAGAATGAGTACATTTTATTAAAAATATGCACAGTCAGAAATTCATCTTAGTAAATTTAAAAATATTTTATCATGAATAGGAAATAATATCATACTCGGAATATAAAATGTGATGTTTTGCAAATTTTATCGTGCATGATGTTGAAAGTTTTTCTACTAAATATCATGAATGATGTAAATATAGTTTTCACTTACTTTGATCAAAAACAACCGAATATTAATTAATATTTGTCTAGTCTGATACGACAGAAAAAGAAAAAGAAAAAGAAAATAATTATCTATTTTACTGGTGACACCTTTTTATTTAATCTTTTCATTTTTTTCTCGTTCTTATTCTCTAATATTTGTCAGCCACCGGAAACAAATAAAGGCGAGAGAAAAAAAATCTATTCATGTCTTTTTTTTTGTTACTATTAATACAAGAATGTATTATTCATTAAAATAAATGAAAAAAAGAGGTTAAAATTAACTTTTATTTTCGATTTATTTACTAAATATCATGAAATAAATAAAAATGAAAAAACAGGAAATTAAACAATCATTGAAGATATTTTTCTCTTGAATTCACTGTAATAGAATTTTCATTATTAGCAAAAGTATTTCCGGCCGTGACAATACCAGGAATTGTATTTTCTCAATGTTCCTGTTTTTTATCAACACCGACGATTACATTGCTATCAAAAAAAAAGTTAATTGAAAACTATTGTTCTTCAAGAAATAGAACAACCCAAGAGCACTAACAACAGTTTAAGCGAATGCGATTTTTTTCTTATAATAACGGGTATTAGTATAAGAGGTCTATTACATGATGTATTATACAGACATAATACAAAACACAGCGATCCTTTGAATTTCATTGTATCGCAACATATTTATTTTCCAATCATCCTCATATCAAATTGTATTATGAAATAATTAAAAATAAAACAAGTACTCTTATAATCAAAAATAGGAAAAACAGGAAATTAAACAATTGTTGAAGATATGTTTCTCTTAAATTCACTTTAATAGAATTTTTATTATTAGCAACAATATTTCCGTCTGAGAGAATATTAGAAATTGTATTTTCTCGTTATGTATGTTTTTTTATCAATGACAGAATATTTGAAAGATATGCCATAAATATACAGTGGGTAGATGTGGGTGTCGATGAATACAAGACTATATCACATTCACACCCAATTGTTTGAAAAGTTTAACTAATCAAAAGCTCGATGCTGTTAATATATCAGATATATTTTTATGCTTTATCTTTTACTGAAATTAAATAAGTAATGATGAAAATGATAAGATCGCGATCATTCCATTCTTTTCGTCATAATAATGGTAATTTTTTGTGTCTTTCAACAGGTTTCAACTTTAATGTTTATACTTCCGTAAGCTACAATGAAAGCTCAGTAACATTATTTATAAATATAAAGTCATAGCTTTCATTTAGTTTTTTTTAGTGATGAAAACGTTCTAGGAGAGTCTCTCGATTCAAAAAAAATAATAGTGTTTCAAGTGAAATTTATTCGTGTAAATTAATTTTTCTTTTCACTTCAAAATTCATACATTGTCTTCTAACTGTTTTCTTTGTAATATTAAGAGAAAGCGCTTTGTGTCATAGAAAACCACAATCTTGCTATTGTGTAGTCCATTTCGTCTACCAATATATAAAATATGTTAAGTCTTTGTAAAAATTTTGAGAAAGAAAACTGCAATACAGAGAAACTTAGCACAAGGATATCTTCTCTAAAAAAACAAGAGTCATTGGTCATATACTAGACTTTATTATGGAAAAAACTAAAAGTTAAAGAAGCTGAAAGTATTCGAAGTTTAATTATGATAAAATAAAAAATATATAGATCTCTGCTTTGATAATCATGTAAACCGATCGTCATTATCAACTTTTATCTGACATTGTTTCCTCATGATGTCAACATTATCTTTAAGTCCATTTATATCAAAACGAGCGAATAATTCATGAAGAGCGCATTCTTGAAACACACCATATGACATAAACTGTTTATTGATTTATGTATCTCATTTACAAGATAGCGTTTGAGATCGAAAAAGTCAAAATATTATATTCCACAAATAAAACTGTATTTGTCTATTGCGTTTGACAATTTAAATTCATCAAAAGCCTCATATAATAACAATGATGACATCAAATATCAATTCGCTTTCAAAAATTCGTAAACATGTCGAGTACTTTACTAAATGAAATGTAAGTATAGATATATTCTCATCTTGTCTTATTTTTATTGATACTTTTGTATGTCTTTTTGAAAATACGACAATCAAAGGAGAAGCAATGTATTGCGAGTTCATTCTTATCTTTCTTTATTTAGCTGAAGAAAGATAGGTAAGAAGAAGAAAAAAAGGAGAGAGAGAATTCTCTTGTTTCCCTTCTCATTCTTTCTCTCACTCCTTCTTTCTAACGGGTGGGTCAGAATAAATAGTGGTGTCAGTATTTTCTCAGTCTCTCTGCCAATTTTCATCATTTGGGATTGAAGTTTTTTTCAGAAGATGCAGCGTTTAATTCTCTACAAAACCATATACAAGCGGGTGTCATAAGAATAAAAGCAAAAAATTTATTGTAGTAGTACTACAAACATCGAGCATTAACAAATGTCAAAGCAAAAATACAGTTCTCTTGCATTTATGTGTTTCCAATATTTTACCACTGTATAGGTTATTGAGTGCTCTACATAATATCAAAGAACCACCCTGATCTCATGTTTTATTAGTTGAAAGGAACAGCTTTTATGAATGGGTCTAAAGTGACCCACCAAGAGGTAAAGGGTTAACAATATCAGTCGATTTTTTTAAACGTTTAAAAAATCTAATAGCTTCTTCAAAATGGTTTTGAAAAATTTGAGGTAAAATTCCTTGTTCAATCGATTCTTTTACAGCTAAATCGTATGCACGTTCACAAATTTTTATCAAAATTGCAGCACCAAATTCTTTGGTTTCATCTCGTAACGAACATGGAATATCATCTTCCTTTACTGGTCGTTGTTTTAACACATGCTGAAGTATAGCTTTATGAGCATCGTCATCAGGTAGTGGAACATTTATTGTATAATCAAGTCGACCTAAATAAAAACAATAAAATTCGTAATTTCTAAATAAAATAAATTATATTTCATTTCCGTACCTCGTTCAAATATAGATGCATCAATATCAATAATATTTTTAGTAGTAGCACCAATAATAAAAACATCGTTTTTTGTACGCATACTATCCATTCCAATTAAAAATTGATTAAAAACACGATCAGCTGCAATACCACTATCAATGATACTACCACCACGAGGTTTAGCTATAGAAAAAACAAAAATATATTCTTTTTTTTTAAATTTCCTTCTTACCAATACAATCTAATCCATGAAGAAATAATACACATGGTGCTGCTTGACAAGCTTTATCGAACACATCACGTACATTAGCTTCTGATTCTTCAAACCATATAGGTGATAGCTCTCGAACTTTAACCAAAATAAAATTAGCACCACATTCATTAGCCATAGCTTTTGCTAATAATGTTTTACCTAAAATAAAAAAATATTATTAAACCCAGATGAAGAAAATTTCTTTTTTATTTCGATGAACTTACCACAACCCGGTGGTCCATAAAGAAGAATACCACTTAATAACGTCTTATCAAATTTAACAAATCTGTCCGGATTTACAACATCATACTTAATAAGTTGTTGCAATTCACGTTTAATATTATTTAAACCATAAATATCTTTCCATGTTGTTCTTGGTTTTTCAACAACCATCTCATGTAAAGCTGATGGTTTTGATTGATTAAGTGCATATCGAAAATTTCCTTTTGTAACAACTAATTCATTGCGTAGTTCAACATCAGTTTCATATTGTTGAAAATCCATGACATCCATTTTTTCTCGAATTTGTTGTAAAGCAGCTTTTGAACATAATGATACTAAATCCGCGCCAACATAACCATGTGTTTCATTCGCAATTTGTTCAAGGTCAACATCAGCACCTAATTTCATATTCTGTGTATGTATACGAAGAATTTCTTCGCGTTCAACAGCATCAGGAATACCAATATCAATTTCTAGATGAAAACGACAAAGTATAGGATTAAATGAATTTGGTCGATTTGTTGCCGCCATAACAATAACATTTGAACATTGTTGAAGATCATTCAATAATGCTAATAATTGTAAGCCAATACGATGTTCGCTTTTACCATGACTTTTTTCACGCTTTGGTGCAATCACATCAAGTTTATCGATGAAAATAATAGCTGGAGCTTTCTAAAAACAAAAAAAATTATTAAAATGAAAATTGTACTATAATTAATATATAGTTAACTTCGTCAACTTGTCCTCTTAATTTTCTAGAAATTAACTAGTAAACTAACTTTACCTTTTTAGCTTCTTCAAATGCTTTATGTAATTTAAATGCAGGTTCACCATTTAATCCAGACATAATTTCTGGTCCATAGATCAAACAAAAAGATACATCAGTTTCTTTCGCTACGGCACGTGCAATTGATGTTTTACCTAAAATAAATATTTTTCTTTTTCAGAAAAACGCTCTGTTATTTTTATCATACCTGTGCCTGGTGGTCCATGTAAAAGAATATATAGTGGTGGTTGAACATTCATTATTTTTAGTACTTGTGGTTGTTTTAATGATAGTACAACCATTTTTTTAATCTGTGTTAATTGTTCTTTAACACCACCAATATTATCAAAACCAATTGCAGGAATTTCAAAAGCTACATTTTGTTGAAGAATTTGAGCACATTCAACTATACAAATGAAATATTAACAAAGATTTTAAAAAAGAAATATAAACCAAATTCTTCGACTCCTCCCCAATCTATAACACTTGGTGACAGTCTTGGCTATACTCGCCCTAATGTACTTCTTTAATTTACTCATTCTAGAATAGTCGCATCTATATGTGTGATACCATCTTTTCATGGAGTTTCTTTTCAAAAACGAAATATGAAGTAAAATATTAAAAAAAAATTTTTCATTTTATACGAGCTTTCGATGCTCAACTGGCATCATCATCAGGTAAGAAAAATATAAAGATATCTAGTCGAACAAAGATATTTATACACTGTCTTAGATTCAAATTTCACTGGTCTATCGATTCTTTTTTCATTTCTTCAATCAAATCAGATAGAAAAAAGCCGTTCAAAAAATAACTCCACCTATCGATACTCATGAACTAAATGTAATAAAATCAGCTGTATTTAAAAAAAATTAATATTACACACATATATCAGCATTTGACAAACAAGAAATGTAATTAAAAAAACAAGTATTGAATAATAGTCAATTAAATGGTTTCTTCGCTTTATTCTTCTTCTAACATTGTTGCTTGATCGACGCATATTCATACTAAAACAGAATGTATATTACGATTTTCAGAAATAATCTTCAATAAAAAAAATTTCATAACTTCATGCCATCTTATATCGTACACAATCTTCCTGTTTGTTAGATTTTGTTATACAATACATTCAATCGAAATGAAATGAATAATAATATTACCAATGACAACAATAACAACAATAAAAACTTCATAAACAATAATAGTTATAATAAGAATAAAAACATTATGAACAATAGGTATAATAACAACCAGAATTTAAATAACAATGATATTAATACCACTCGGCACTCTAGTTATAATAAATTTAACAATCAACACTTAAATAACAATAATAATATTAATTCAAATAACTTTAATGAAAACAATTGTACATAAATATTGATTAGAAAATAAATCTTTTATTTTCCTTGTATATTATTTTGATGAGAAAAACTAGTTGCTAATACTCATGACATTTTCTTTTCAATGTTATTCCTGAAATATCTTCCTGCACAACAGTAAGAAACAAAGTTTTAATAATTCATTTATAGCTAAATTTTCACCGATCATCAAACGAATACCATTCGTTCTTGTATACATATAAAGTAATGTGTATAGAAACATATGGATTTTTCTTGTCTTTCGTATGTTGTGGTTGGAATCTTGAGTTAGGAGAAAAGAAAAAAAAGTTGATAGATGAAACAATCTTTCTGCAGTTAATCGTTATTACATCGGCTGAGAGATGAATTTCTAACCTTTGTCAATTATGCCATCGTAAGCTATACTAGAAATTAATACAATAAAATATTTCACTTACTGATATTTACTAATAAATCGAAATTTTTTATGTATTTTATGTATTCGAATGTAACAATTATCTTTAATCATTTATTTATAGATATCAATTTGTTTAACGAAATTTACGACACAATTATTTGATAAGAAAATATGATCCTATTTACTATCTGTGCCCTTACTCAGATTCGAACATATCGATAAATTTTATATGATCTTATATTTACATATACCTACATTATTTCTGAATAAGTCCCAAAATAATTTTAGAATAGATATATATCAGCAGATAACAACTGGATTCGTAATACATTGATAACTAATTGTGCAAATGTCATTATGTGCACGGTTCTAAGATCAAGCTCATCTAATGTCATATGAAAATGCATGATTGTTTTCATTTTTACAAATATTTCTCTTTATTAATAATTCGACAGCCTTAACTTAATACTTGACGATAACACTTTAGTTAACATAAAAAAAAATACTATCGAGACCTATACTATTTGGTAATGAACATTCTTAATAACATATATTAGAATACAGTAGTTAATAGTATATAAAAATCCTAAGAATCGTTCAAATTAATAAAAATAACGTCACGATTATATAAACGAAAAATGAGAAAGAAACATTTTCAAATTTTCTAAGTATATAAAATCAAGGTAAGTTTCATTTTTAATTCTTGAAACACAATTTTACATTAAATGATGCAATCATTCTCCACAATTAATAAAAAATCTTAGCAATCAGCATATATATGTGGCAGATCAATTTGGAATTTAGTCGAGTTTGAAATAAGTTTAATATTAATAAAATAAATTTTTTTCTAAACAAGTAATTTTCTATATTTATATAGTTATAAGCTGTTTATAAATACAACTAGAAGAACGTTAGTTTCTATTCTATAAAACTATCATATTTCCGCTAATAATTAATTACATGTATATTTTAAGAAGAATTTTAATGATAATATAATATTTCCGATTATCAAAATTGATTTGTTAGTTTTTCGTTTTTTAATATATTGAATATTTTTTTGATGATGGGGACATGATGACATTGATTATTGGATGAAAAATGAATTGTTCAATTTTCGTTTTCTATTATATTGTATTCTTTTTATAATGGGGATATGGGGAAATCGACTATTAACTAGATATGAATTGTTTCGTTTTTTATTATATTATATTTTTTTTGATGGCAGTAAGATTCAGAAATCGATTTGGTTTAACGAAGAATAATATGGTAATGCAAGACAATTTTACATAATTTTTTTTGTTCTGTGATTGAAATTTTGTAAGTATTTTGTAGAATCGGTTACACAAGAAAATGACATGAATTTTTTCAATTAGATTATGTTCATTACGTGCGATCAAAAGATCAAAGAAAAGATATGACAAACAGATTTTCAAATTTACGATCACGTTCAAGAAAAAAAGAAAGTCAGTAGTTAAATCACTGTGAAGCAACGGAGACTTATACACATTTATATGACTTATTTAAACATAATATCTCAACAATAATACTCACACTACTATTAACATCCATAATAACAAAATAAAGACCAAAAATGAGATAAACGTTAGAAAAAAAATCAACCAAAATAACATAAATAACATCAACAAGAATAAAATAAATAACAACAATAGAATTAATAATGAATATAGTTACAACAATAATGATATGAACATCAGCAATAATATTCATAACCTCAATCATATAAATATCACAGATAACATTAGCAATAATTATATTCAGAACAACAATTATACGAACAGTGAAAATAATAACAATCAAACTAATTTCAGGAACATCATATATAAAACTAACAACACGAACACCAAAAACAACATCAATAATAATATCATCAATAATAACAAAGAGATTAACATTGAACACAACATGAATAATAATATTCATAACAACAATGATAGTAACATTAAAAACTTGTTCAACAGTAGTAAAATTAATAACAATAAGGATACAAACATGATAAATAAGATGATTAGTAATAATGAAATCAATGTGCACAACAACACTTACACTAACAGTAGAGATAACATTAACATTGAAGTTATTCATAACAACAATGGAATTAAGTGTGATATGATAAATAACAATAATTTGAACAAAGTTTTAACTACGTATGATTTTAACCATGATAGAATTAATACGAATATTCTTAATGATAATTTGAACAATAATTTAAATACGAATATTTTTAATAGTATGATAAATAATGAAAATTTTAACAGTATGAATTTGAACATAAATAACAACATCAACCATAATGATAGTCACATTAGAAGCAACATGAACAATAACAAGTATTACAGAAGTAATAACATCATGAATAATAATCGTGAAAATGGTAACCTTAATAATAATAACACGATTAACACTAACAAAAGCAATGATATCAATAGTATAAGCAACATAATCAATAATGACATTAATACCAACAAAGATTTAAACATTAGTAATAACATCAATAGTTGTAAGATCAATCACAGCATCGTAACTGACAGTAGTAACAACTTCAATAACAATAAAAATAATAATAATAGTTTCAATCTACATAATTTCAATAATTTAAACAAACAAAAGTACTATAAATCATCCAGTCAACCAAAAGAAGTAATAACAAATCGTAGCAATCGACTTATATATTATACCCAATTAAATGACCAATGCAATAATAAGAACAAAATAATTATAAATAATACAGATGTCGATCAAAACCACCAATTTTCATTATGTCATAAGAATGATAATTACAACAATAAGAAAAACGTAAAGAATAGTTCTAACAACAAATTGAATGATAATTGCAATAGAAATAATTTTCCTAATGTTTTAAATAGTATGGATTTTAGTAATGATTTTAACAGTATGATAAACAACAATGATTTAAACAATGATTTTAACAATGTTTTAACCACGTATGATTTTAGCTATTTAAATACGAATGTTTTTAATAATGATTTAAATACGAATAGTTATAATAAGGTGATTAACAATGATTTAAATATCGATAATGGAAATAGTATGACATGTAACAATAATTTTAACAATGGTTTGACCACTGATTTAAATCGCAATGATTTTAACCATGATAGAATAAATACGAATATTCTTAGTGATGTTTTTAACCATGATAGAATTAATACAAATATTCTTAGTAATGATTTTAATCGCAATGATTTTAACCATGATAGAATTAATACGAATATTCTTAGTGATGATTTTAACCATGATAAAATTAATACAAATATTCCTAGTGATGATTTCAACCATGATAGAATTAATACAAATATTTTTAATAATGATTTAAATAGCAATGATTTTAACCATGATAGAATT